ACGGGGTGCAGCCGGCCGGGCCGGGGCCGTGGGGCCCGCGCTGCCCGGGACGCGGCGTGAGGCGGCGGCCGAGGAGCCCGGAGCGCGACCGGCTGAGCGGGTGAGTGAGCGGGCGGGCGGACGGCGGCCTTTGCCGGGCCGGGGGAGCCCGCAGTGCCGGGCAACCGTGCGCGCGGCCTGCTGGCCTCCTGTCGGGCCCTCGGGACGCCGCGTGGGAGAACCCTGTGAGGCGCGGGATCTCCGCTGTGGCTATCGGACTGTTAAGGCTGATTCCTAAATTTCTCGGTTGTGGAGGGGCCCCCTCCCCCAGTGACAAGTGTTACAGCAGGTCCAGGGGCAGGTGTGTTTGCAGGGCGGGGGTTGCCCTGGAGACCCCCAACTCACTGGGGCTGCCAGGAAGTGCAGGGCAGAGCCAGGGTCTGGGTCTCTCCTGCATCCATACAGGAGGACATCCCTGTGGTCTTGCGGGCTGGGTGGTCACTGGGGCCTAAGGATGGGGTGTGGCCCCTCTCCATCCCAGAACTGTCTTTCCTGATGTCCTGAGAGATGCTAGATTCTTAAGTTGTGGGGGGGGAGGGGGGTGACTTCCTCTTCCACCCACCCCACATTCTTAATCAGTGGAAAGACTGATGGGGAGTTTGTCCCCTTCCCCCAATGTATGCAACTACCATCTCCCCTCATTCCAAGTAAAAATTCTGTGCAGATGTGATTTCAAGGCAAGGCCTCTTGCTTTGTCCCCCTTTAAAAGTAGTTTTCCTGCTTCTGCCTTGAAATCCCAGATCCCTCCCTTATTCCTCTTTATCTCTGAAACTCATAGGCCTACCTGCCTCCCAAATCTGGATTCTTCAGAAGACTATAACTAAGCATCATCCTTCATCCACTACCACTTGTCACCTCTGCCCCATCTAAGAGTCACCGCAGCTGATAGGGTAGCCCCTTCCCAGGTAGTCCGTGTTCTCTTCATTTGTGTGGCAGGCACCACCCAGCCCTGGGCTCCTCTCTCTGCTCCGAACAAACCCCCTCCCCCAGCACTTTCAGTGGCTTTTATCACTGTCTGCCCTCTATACTTTCATCCCTAGCTATTTTGTGTGCGCCCAGGTGGGGTGTGCCAGCCTCCCACCCTGGTCAGCCCCACTGTGTCCAGCCAGCAGCCAGCATCTCCGAGCAGAATTCCCTCCGACACTTGCCTCCTTGACCCTTGCTTGTCTGGTTCCTGGACTGCTGTGGTCAAATTCTTTTCTCCTGGGAAAGAAACTGTGTTCTGGATTGGAATAGATGCCCAGACCACTCCCACTGCAGAGAAACACAATGACTTGGAAGGGCCGCTCTTAGAGGGAGTGACTTTGCCAAATGACTGGGACAGCACATTCCCTGCTGTAGAGATAACCAAGGCCTGGCTGTCAGTTCTCCAGGTGGTGAATGTTGCATGGGTAGCTAGCTTCTTTGCCTTGCCTTCTCTGCCTGTCAATACTGCTAGGCCCAGGGTAGAGAATGGGCGTTGAGGAATCCAAAGTCTGGATTCCATGCTTGGCTTTTCCTGAACTTGCTGTGTGAGTTAAACAGTTGGGCGGCTTTTCTTGGTCTTGGTTATTTCTTATGGAATCAAAAATTCCCTATTTATCCTCACTTATCCCAGCTGTCTTCCCCTCTGGCGTGTTATTCCTCACACTCTATGTTCCAGCCCTCCAAGTCTCTGTGTGCCTTTTCACCTCTTCCCTGCAGGACATTGAGCTAGTCTGTCATCTCTGGCCTTGGCTGGAGCTTGATTCCTTCCCTTCGTATTTGAGCTGGCCTAATCTGAGTTACCACATGAAATGAGACTTCTGTTTCTCCTTGCCTCCCTGCTAGATTGTAACTTCCCAGATGGTCAGGGCTAAATCCTATTCCCCAGTCTCTAGGCCTTCACACCCAGTAAGCACTTAGGTAGATGGCGAGAGCGTGACTGCCAAGAATACTCCTTTTGTTATAGTTAGAACGGCCCATTCTCCCTCACACTGTCTTCTTCCCTGTCCAGAGGCCTGTTTTACTACGAGGCAGATTCCCTAAACAGCCCTTCCGGCTGAGGCTTCCCAACTCAGTCTTTAAGAGGAGCCGGTGATGAAATATGTGCACTTATTTGCAGAGATTAGCAGAGGGACATTTGTTGCTTCAAGCTTGCTGTCTTGTTGCTTTGGGAAGAGCCCAGGTGACGTGTGCTCCTGCATAGGAGGGCAAGGATGGGCTCCTGGGCAGCACCATTTGCCACTGGGGCAGAAGAGGCTGATGTTGATGACCAGGCAGGCCATCCCAAGGGAGCCGTGAGGTATCTGTAGACCGGATCTCGGCTTTGTGCAGGAGAGATTGATCCCTTTGCACATAGTAACTCTGAAAATGTTTAATAGGACCCTTGCCTCTAGGCCCCGACAGCTTCTCTCAGGTTATGTGGTTGGTGGTTAGTAAGCCTTTACTGGATGTCCAGGGATGTTTTTTTGTTTGTTTGTTTGTTTGTTTTTGTTGTTTTTTTAAGATTTATTTATTATTTATACAACAGTCTGCCTTCACACTAGATCTTACTATAGATGGTTGTGAGCCATCATGTGGGTGCTGGGAATTGAACTCAGGACCTTTGGAAGAACAGAGAGTGCTCTTAACCTCTGAGCCATCTCTCTAGCTCCCCAGGGATGTTTTTTAATAGAGCCAGGATAGATTCTCATCTGACTTGTTCTAAAACCTAATCACAAATATTATTACCCCTCTGTTGACAGCTTCCTACAGGGTATCATATGGAAAATAATATTTGTGATTCTTTTTGAAAGTTGTATTTAAATTATTTTATGTGTATGACTATTTTGCCTACGTGCATAGTTGTGTACCATATGCATGCCTAAGTACCCCCAGAGGCCAGAATAGGGTGTTAGATCCCCTGGAACTGGGTTATAACTTGATGCTGGGAATTGAACCTCGGTCATCTGGAAGAGAAGTGCCTTAACCACTGAGCCATCTTTCTAGTCTCTGTGGGTTTTTTGTTTATTTGCTTTGTTTCTTTAGAATCTAGGGACAGGCACACTTTGTCTTCCCTGGGAAACTAGGCTACTTTTTCTGTGATAAGAAGGAAAGTAGGGAAGGCAATGGTGTATTGTTTATGTCCTCTGTACCACAATGTGTACATGGGCTCATATACACATACAAACATACTGTATCCAGTACCTGCTATTCCCTTTCCTCACCATTTTTCCAGAGAAATTGAGAGATCAGCTGATTTGATCACTCTGTCTGGGTCCATACCATCTTACAACACCTTACTCTTCCTATATCACACTGATTGTGGTTTTGGTTTTCCTGCTGATTTTGAGTTCCCTCTTAAGACTCGTTGGCATTCAGCATGCTTGGCATTACAGTAGTATTTCATCCATGTGGCAGTTATACCCTCAGAGTCTGCATCTTTATTTCCACTGTCTGTCTGCCTGTGT